TTGTGCATGAAAGAGAAACGCTTTGCCTGCAGATGGGAGGGAGGCATCTGTGTTGAAGCAAGTGTTATCAAAAATAAACTTAAGCCTTTCCCTGAGAATAAGCAAGGGGGATTGCCAAATTCTTTATGGGAAAAAAAGTACAGAAAAGGTCCAGAGGATTTAGACATTTTCCAGGGACGGATAATCCTTCCAAATGTGCAGATGGCCTTTTGCAGCTTGGGAAAGCAGCATAATAGAATGGTTTTCGACTCAGAGTCAAGGATTATGGTTGAGGTTTTCTCTCTTAGTCCTTGAGGTGTTGTCCTCCCCAGGGAAGAGGAGGGAGGCCAGAGAGCAGACTTCTGGGAATGATGCCTTCCTTCGAGGTCCTGGATAGACCCATGCTGCCAGTGCATTTTGATATCTGCCTTTGCAATTGTTGCTATATTTTCTGGTACTGTGACTACAATATGTTGTAAGGGCTCATCAACAAGGCCTAAAAATGCAAGGCAAAATAAGTGAAATCTTATATTGTATTGCCTCTTGTATACAAACTGTTTATAGCAAACAAAACAAAAAACAAGTAAACCAAAAAAATTCCACTACCACCACCACAAAAAAAACCAAAACCACCACAAGGACCAAGACCTTGTAAAAGAAATGGACTATTTTTCATATTCAGGCCTAGAATGTCCGTGATATTTAGTATCAATATCTATCGGCTATCTATTCAACTTTTGCTAAATGTCTTTCAACTTTAGTATTTCAACGAATGTATTATTTTTCTGGAAAAACAGTGTACTACATTGTACTCAGGTGCTCATCCAGTCATATTCTGAACAGGTTTCATCTTCCAGGAAAGAGATCAAGAGCTTGAGGTTATGATCTTAGTTCTGCCACTGTGTGGAAGGCTTCATAACCATTTTTTCATTTAATTCCCCAACAGTCGAATGAGGTTGGTGCTGTGAGCTTCATGTTAGGGTTGGGGCAGTTGAAGCTGGATGGTGGTAGGTCACTTGTGCAAAGAGTGTTGTAAGTGGCTGAGCTCATCCTGAAGCCTAGTCTACCAGCTTCCACAGTGCTTCCGAAGAACCAACGCGCTAGCCACTCCCTGAGTAAGAGCACTTCTAAGGCCCGCCTTCTGTGACTCTGCCAGGTTTCAGTCTGGAATGTCAGCTCCTGACGCTCTCATGGCGGAAGAAGGACCAGATGCCCCAAAGTAAGGCAAGAACGAGAATGAGCTTTATCGAGGAGAGAAAGATAGGAGCAAGATAGGAGCAAGATATAGGTTTACACATGATACATGTGCCACAGATGACAACTAGACCCATTGTCACAGCAAAAGGAGAGCAGAAGGAAGGGGCATAAAGGGCCTGGTTATAGTGTCAATGTCGTTTTATATTGCTCGGATTGGGACCTCCCTGTGGCTCAGACATCACCAGGGAACCACTTTGATTGGACAGTGTGGAGTTGCATGACCTCTTAACTACATATGTGGGTTGCCCTAGGTTAATTTCTGAACTCTGCTGTACCTATGGCGCTTGGCCCATGGACCACAGAATCCTCTGCATTGTTTTGCAGCTGGAGTGCTGAGTTACAATTGGCAGATTCCTAGGGTATTCCCTCCTCCCCCAGGTATGGTAGTCACTAGGGAGAGCATTAGGGTGGCACAGGAACAAGATGGGGGCCTGCAGCCCACCCTTGTCCTTCTTCCCAGGTGGGGCAATTGCACCAAGGCATCAGCACCCACTTTCGTCCCTAGGAGACCTGGAATCCCTTGCTACCTACCTACCAATTCTAAGACAATCCTGGGAATGAGAAATGAGGCACTGAAAGATTTTCTGCCCTCAGCTCAAATTTGGTTTCATGTCCCTGGATCTTTCTTTAACCAAGTATGAATCTTTTGGTTGTTCAAAATCATCTATATTTTTTACCTTATTTTTGAGAAATTTGTATTTTGGGTAGATACATCTTGAATATGTTGATTGTAATATGACTGGATCTAAGAAATTAAAATATCTATGTTTTTGTATACTAAAGAAGTATAGGGTTATTTTCAACAAATAGCAACTCATATGTTTGAGAACATCTGTGTACATCATTAATTTTTTCTTTTGTGCCCAAATATTTATTATTATGCGGATACCACTCTGCATTAATTCTTTGAAATCAACTTTGAGAAATTTAACAGTGTTTGGAACAAACAGCATTTTACTCAAATGGCATGAATCAAAGGTCTATATTGTCAACGGAAAAAAAGCCAAAGTCTGTAAAATAATTTTAAAGAGATTCATTCTGAGCCAAATTTGAGGACCAGGATTGGAGCCATGCTCAAGAGGCTTTGAGCAAGTGGACGCGCTGTGGCTGGGTTACAGTTTGGTTTTATACATTCCAGGGAGACAGGAGTTACAGGTGAAGTCATAAATCAATACGTGGGAGGCACATAATGGTTTGGCCCGAAAAGGTGGGCCATCTCCAAGTGTGGGCTTACAGGTTATAGGTGGGTTTAAAGATTCTTTGACTTGTAATTGGTTAAAGACATGAAGGTTTTTCTAAAGGCTTGGAATGTTTTAAGATAAAGTCTGTTAATCAGAGACAAGTCACCTGACATATATTTGTTAAATTGAGGACCTGTGAGTTTGTCTTGTGTAGCCCATAGACCTGCTAATGAGTTACAGAGGATGTCTCCAAGAAGGGAGGGGGCATGATGAGGTGTGTCTGACCTCCCTCCTCCTGGCAGGCAATTTAGTTTTAGGATACCCTCTTGGCCAAGAGGGGGTCCATTCAGTCACTGGGTGGGGGGGAGCTTTAAAATTTTATTTTAGTTCACAACATTATATATCTTCAATGAAAAAAAAAATTCTTGCTTTCTACCATGGTTTTCAAAGATGTGATCTTTTTTTCAACATTTCCTTTATAACACTGAATGATAAAAATAATAAATATTCTTCAAAGACTTATGATGTGTCAAGCTTTATGACATATGTTTTATATGCATACTTTCATCTCATCCTTACATCATCCCCAAGAGATAAGGGCTATTAGAACCATTTTACAGTTAGGCCAAATTCACTAAGCCATAAGTGACAGTTCTGAGAATTTTCTTCTTCTTCAGAACCCAAGATTTTGACCATAGATCTTGTGATCTAGGCTCTCATCTTAAAATTAAATTAGAAGGAAAAACTTTCCACTTGGGCATATGTTTGATATTTAAAATACATTTGAAAGAAATGTGATGTGTTAAAGACATTGGTCATCTATTAAAACTATTATAAATATTTGTGAATTGAATTATAAAAAATGGAAAATGACTTCTTCCATCAACTTGAAAAGTGAAGAGAAAGAAGGAATGAAATAGAGAGATATTTTCCCTTACCTTGTATATTGTGGGCAATGCCATCTATCTGAGCTATGTTTACGATTCAATTTTCAGAAGGTTTATGTTTCAGCCTTGGTTTATGTTGTAGTTTAGTCATGCAGAATGTCCCTGTAGGTTGGCTGAAATTAACATACATATCATACCTTTTAATTTTGTATCAACTATAGTAATAGTGATAAAAAAATAATGCCCTATTCTCTGTACTATGCTGAATGCTTTATAAACAGTAACTCCACATATCACAAACTCTTACCAGAGAGCTATGCCTCATCCTATTTTACAGATGAAGTTTAATAACTTGCAGAAATGCCTAGAAATAGTGAGTAGAATTGAACTGGGATTTCATAAAGCTCTTAAAGCCCAAGTCTGGCCTCTTCCTACTGCACAGCGCCCCATCCAGCAGGAAAGGCCAGCTTCATCTTTTAGAGGGGGTGGAAATCTGCTAAGAGCATCCAGACCTTTGTCAACCATTGTGTTAATAATCCAGCAATTCAGACTTGTTCGAATTGTCAGACTATTTGGATGCAATCAAAGCTTGTGGGGCCCTGGAGCCAGAGGCCACCTGCTCTGTTCCACTGATTACGGAGCGCCAGCCTCCTGGGCTTGGTTCCTCAGCTCACCCACCAGCACCTCCTGCTCCTCGGTGATTCCCAGGCCAGGACAGCGGGCACTGCCAGCCAGCCTGCCTCTGCTGCTCTGTCAGCCCTTTTTCTGGATGGCATGCTGAGGTCCCCCTGTGTTTTTAAAATTTTTATGAAGAGGATGATTATTTTTAAGTCAGTAAAAATACATAGAACTTGTATTCCTTGGAAATTAAAAATCTCACTTTTTTTTTTCCCTCAGAGAAAAATGACTCTTTGAGAGAGGTGATGGAACACTCATCTCACTGTTCAGGCTTTAAGTTGACCCCCACATGTATACAAGGTGGGGAGAAAGGAGAGTTCCAATCAAATTCTGGGAAATCCATACATACATTCAACAAATATTTATTCTATGTCAGGTGTTATTTTAAGTGCTAGAAACATGGTGGCAAATAAAAGGGACAGAACCCTGACCCCGTGGAGTGCGCATCTAAAGAGAAAAACTTGCAATAAACACAATGAGCTAATAAATTCTTACTAGAATGTCAGAGAGTGATAAGTACTACAAACGAAAACTGTGTCAGAGCAGGGGCGTGGTATTGCACAGAAGGTGTCAGAGAGTGCCTTGTTTCCTGTTGGCAGCTTCAGTCACAGCAAGTGATCAAGAGTTATATCTGAGACCACTGTTTTCCAAACGTTAGGTTAAGCATAACAGAAAATGAAGGAAGAGTAGCTATTTTACATCCTGTGAACAACTACATTTTGACATGATTCAGGCCTTCTCAGGCCTCATGCGCTCATTGCTCATCGCGCTCATTCCAGAACCCTGCTCATCTTCCGGCTTCTTTATTTAGAGTAGTTTGCACTTGTTCTACAAATAGGGCTTTCCTGTAAAATTTTTTTGGAGTAGATTTTCATATCTGAGAACACTGCTTTAGACCAAATATTCCGTCAACACAGGAGGAAAGTGACGCCAAAGCGGAGCAGTGACTTGGCCGAGGGTGACTGCGCCCCGGTGGTCCAGGGGACCCGGTGTGCTCCTTTCTCTCCAGGTTCTGCCCTGGGCCGCCGGGCTCCTGGCTGAAGAGAGCCTCCAGCGCTGAGATGGACGCCGCGTGCCTCTGGCGCAGCCTCGCTTTCCCTGCCTGGGGAAGGGAGCCCAGCCCCAGCTGAAGGTACCCAGCGCCTTGAACCCCGCTGTCCTCTCCCGGGGGTTCAGCACTCTGCGCACTCCCAGCCCTGGCTGCAGTTCAGGGCCAGCGGGAACGGAAGCACAGACTCCGCGAATGCCTAACGCAGCGCAGAGCGGGCGGAGGGGACGAGGCGCGGCACTTTCCATTTCTCGCCTCTCCGGGTGCCGGCGCGCCCGCTCCCTGCACGACGCGCGGCGCCCGGACCTCCCCGCGTGCGCGCTGGGCGCCGGCCTCTTTAGGCGGCTGTTACCCTGTGGCTTCCTTGGTGTTTGGCTGAATTGGCACTGAATCCCTCGCTGACTTCTTTCTTCCTTCTGAACACGGAAGAAAAGGAGCGGGTAGCAGAGGCCGGGCTGGGAGCCCGCGCCCTCCCCGGGAAGCTGCCGCCCCTCCCTCGTCGCCGCCGGCCGGGCAGCTCCCCGCGCGTGCGGCGCTGTTGCCCGGCTGGCCTCGGGGTTCCTTAAAGCATACAATAGGCGCGCAGTAATGGCTTTTCTAACGAGGAGCGCAGGGGACTACGCTAAGAAAGCCGAGGAAATCCGAGTAGGAATTCAAAGCTGCAGGCAGGAGTGGGAGTGCCTGAGCTTTCCCTGTTGTGTTTTTAATCTTCTTTTCCCCAGTGAGGATGCTAGTAAGAGTGAATGCCTGGGCGTTCCAGGAGAAGAATCAGTGGATTTCAGTAAAGGAAATGTAATCTGGAGTGCAAAAGAGCCTGCCTTTCCACTCGGTGTGCGCGTGTGTGGTGTGTGCGCGAATGCTTTGCAAACTATGAGGCAGTGTGTTGAAATCAGGATAAACACTGTGTATCAGGAGAGCCCTCCTGATGAAAGACCGGGCTCAGCCTGGAGCTTTCTATAGGTCCTGTGTGATTCAGCACACCCCTCGGGCCTTTGAGTCCTTTTTCATAAAATAAGGAACTTGGCTAATGGGGTCTCTAGCCCTGCCTTACAGTTTGAGGATTCCATTTTAAAAAGTCACATTTCAAGATGGTAGTTGGAGGTGACATCATATATCTAATAACAATGTGGGGTGATTTGAAAAGCACGGAAGCCATTCAACTCTTCAAAGTACGTATATATACACGTGTATACAGGTGTGCACATACACAAACATATGCACACAGTCAGGGCCATTTTCAGGTGCCTGAAATTGTACCATTAAAGATAGAGCAAATTCCAGTTTTCTTAGCTTTTGACTGTGACCTTAGCATTGCTTACTCTCTGAAAGACTCAGTTTTCCTTTTTTCTTCTTCATAACAGGAATAAATATTATCTCTCTTATAACTTTGTTATGGGATTAAAGTGAGAAAACTTGTATAATGCTAGTTTTTCTTGCCAGAAAGACAAGAAGAGCACACAGTACCATCATCCAACCTCAAAATTTTGAGAGGAAATGGTGTGATGGGCAATTATGTCATTTCCCCAAAGTCATTAGGAACTCAAAGTTATTTTTTAAACTTGTTTTTCACACACCTGTGTGGAATAGATCACAGAACATGGGCTCATTCTCAGAGGAGATGTTATCTGTGTCAGACTTTTTCTATGTCCCATAGATGACTTTATCACCACCTGGCCAACATCTATTACGTGCTAGCTCTGGAAAGTATAGGGCAATGGTTGAACCAACCTGATAATGTCTAGAGGTTATTTTTCCTCTACTGGTCTTCCTGTGTTGATGATATATATAGATGTTGGTCCAGAATATTATGGATGACAGCTATGTACCTGAAAACTATAGGATTTCTTGTTTGTTCCTTCATAGTTAATTTTCTGGATTAAACACTGGCAACTCAGAATGTCTTCTCTTTCCAGAGAGGCCAGAGGGCAGGAAGAGCAGAATTTGAGGAGCACTCAGACACAGTGGAGGTTTAGCGCAATCATCCACATGTGAGTCTTGCACGTTTTACCCCATAACTCAACTCATAACTAAGCAGATTTCATTTTTCAAGCAAGGGCCACAGAGCAGAGCAGCAGTTCTTAAAAAGAGAAAGCTGGTAACAGGGACTCAAGGAGTCAAGTCAAAGGGTATAGGCTATGAAGTTGGACCTCCTGACTGGAGTCCCCTCTGTCATTTCCTCTCTGTGTACATAATCAACCCAATGCTCAGTTTTCTCTTATATAATCTGGAGGTAGTAATATCTACCTTATATGATTATCGTGAGTGCTAAATAGAAAAAAGAAAACCCTTATGCAACATGCAAACACAGTATCCGTATGGGTATGAGTTCCGTACCTCCAGTGCTCCGTACCCGCTGAGTCCTGGCGGATGGAATACGCCGGCTGCACATCAGAATCAATGTCTGCCTGAGTGTCGGAATCTTGCCTGTAGTCCATGCGCTAGAGTGAAGGAAAATGAACACCATACTGTTTTTACGTTTTCTTTCTTTCTTTTGAGAAAAAGAACATTTGTGTGTGGTTCAACTGCAATAATGGCATTTGTAATGTCTTCATGCTGTCGCACCATCTAACCCCCAGGATCTTATCTTAATATAAAATCAGTTAAACAAGTGTCCAAATTGGCCAGATCAGCCAAATCTGGAAGAAGGAAAGTTGTTTTCCTCCTAATGAACTGTCCCCTGAACACAGCACTGCCACAGAAGTTCAGGAATGTTTATTGTCGCGGCGTTTCCAGGAGTTACACTCTTTGTTAAACCCCACCATGGTGCTCGGGGGAAGCTGGTGATTCATTAATTCACTGCGATGATTTGTCCTAATTATTCTAATTACTGCCTTGTCTCCTCAGACCAGCTGGTGCCTGAAGCAGAGGGTAAGTCACCAGTCACGAGCACTGCAGCGGCTAAAGAATCCCGGGCACCGGATCTGCAGGATTCACTGTCACATGTCAGGAGAGCCTTGTGCTGCTGCTGGGCCTGACCTGTCCACGGCGCTGCTCTGGCCTGAGTCCTGGTCCCTGGGGCCTGCCGTGCCTGCATCCTGTCCTCTGCTCCTCTTGTACCTTTTCAGGGGGAAGACAGCCCTGATAAATGGTGCTTTTCTGTCTTCCCAGGCTGCTGCCCTGCCAGCTCCAGACTGCATCTGTTGTATGTGTTCTTTGTGCTTTCTGCTGTTTACCCTTCCCGGTCTGAATGGTCCTTAAACCCAGCCTGGTCTTCTAACAACTGTCGATATCTGTTTTTTACTACACACTACCAAACTCTAAGATGGATGTTCATTGCCATATGAGCGCTGTCTCTAAATGTTACGGCTCGCAATCTTAGTTCCTGTGTTAGGGCTCTGGAGGACTTAGTGACTAGCTCACATGGCCCAGCAAGGGAACAACCTGTGGGACTGAATCTCAGGCTGCTGCATTCCCAAAGTCTAGGCCCTTTGCACATCACTCTTTCCCACCCCATGGGCCTTTCTGCTCATCTGCGGGATTCCTGTTGAAACCCTGCTTGGGTCTTTCATCCCTGAGCACCTTTGCTGTGATCATATAGACCCTGTCTTGGCTCATGGCCCCGGACATCAGTGCTGACTCTGCAGGTCAGCTAGGGGTCCTGGCTAGACTTCCTGAGGCCACACAGTCTTGCTACAAACAGAACCTGCCCTGGAGAGCCCAGGTCGTGCTTCCCAGTGTGCTCTGCCATCCCAGCCTGCCCGGTGCCTCTCTGGTCTCTGGCCACACAAGGTATCTTCACAGCTCACGCTTGAGTGGCATTTGCCTCTTACATTACTTACACCTTATTTCCCTGGACAAAAACAGAATCCAGAAAAAAACACTGAAACTGTGTCTTATCCCTCAGGGAATGAGCTTTATTAGGATCTATGACATAGAGCCATGTTAGGACCCCTGACATGAGGCTGGGTGACAAACACCAAGGTGTTTAAAAGTAAGAATGCTGATATTGACAGACTTGACTAAGAAAGAGCCAGTGTATTTCATTGTTAAAATCACTTCACTAAGAGTTATCACAACCTTGACTAGTCTTTCTTGACCACTGTCATTCTTGACCACAGTTATTCCTGTTAAAATCTTGGTTTAACTGTCATTTCTTCAAAGAAGCAGACTTTCTCAACTCTAAGGATTTCAGGGCATCCTATTCCACTATTTCATAAGAACAGGTGAATCGCCCCACGTTTGAACTTATTTTCTTAGTGCTTGCTTACCTACTGAGGCTGGAAGCTTTGTGCGGCTGGCGGCCACCTGACATTCCCAGTGCCAAGAGAGGGCGGGATCAGGCAGATTGCCTGCCCATGTGTGCCACAGGACTGGGATCTGTGCGCCCTCAGCACCCCTCACTTGTAGGTGGCCAGGCCCTTTCCGGGATTCCTGGCCACACTTGGAAGTCATCTGCAAGAAGGCCTGCACAGAAGGGGAATTCCTGAGACCCGGATGACTAAGGCTTAGGGGTGGCAGGAAGGGGAAAGGTAGTCCAATTAGAAGAAGTACTGAAAAGGCTCAGTTGACAGAGGCACTTCAGGAAGAATGGGGATGGACCAAAAGCAAACAAACAAACAAAAAAAAAAAAAAAAAAAAAGGAAAAAGAAAAAAGAGGAGTGAATGAGCCTCATTTCTACATCGTTAGACTTTTGGTAACAGTTGGCCTGTTTATATCATAAAGCTGTTGTGCTTTGCAAAGCAAATGCAAAACTACCAGCGCCACCACAAAAAGCCATGAAGAGCTATTTCCATGCAAGAGGGTTTGTATCTAGTTGTATTTAATTTTACTAACAGACTGAAGACTTGCCTGCTGGGCTCCATGTCCCGTTGTCAGCCTCTTGGTGTGTGCGTACATTCACCAGCCGGTCGCTAGTGAGACCTGCCCTGATCTCACACGCGACTTGCAACCTCCCGGCTGGACGGCTAAGTGTGATGTGTTGTGCTCCGAAGGAACAGATGGTTTAAATTTAAATTCCAATTTTAAAGGAAACATGAAGAAAAAAATGAAACCTTGATAAAAACTTTGATATTTATTAATAATGAAATCAGATTTAATGGAATTCAGTTGAACTATTAAACTGTCCAGTATGTAGAAATTAATGCCAGCTCTTTGATCTTTTTATATTATTACAGTAATGATTTAGACTTTTCCAGACTGCAGCTGTGGGGAGAAATACTGATAGAAAAAAACAAATCAAACTTCAGGGCATTATTTAGTGATGTCTGAGAAATTAATCCTCTTGACAGCGATTTGCAAAGGAGCTGTTGCCCTGCAGGAAGCTGACCAGGAAACAGAGGCTTATTAGAGCAGAGGTGGCATTGGCCACACCTGTGCTTCTCTCCTCTCTGCTCTGTGGTGGCAAAAGTGATCCTCACTGAGACAGGATGTTGATTTCCTAAAGGAACAGCTATATCTAAACTCAGATTGGTACCGTAGAACAGGCATGAGACTGGGACTCAGGGATGTGTTTTCTATCTGGAGTGACTGTAGAAACAGACAAATTGTTTTTGGAGAGAGGAGAGGGGTCATTCAGTAATTATGCTGGGTCAACGTGTGTGAACTAGAACTATCCTTGGCAAATCAAGATCAAAGATAGTCACTTATAATTCTCTAATGTCATAGAATTTTCTTATCCTGAAACTGGGTCTCAGTTTCCTTCTCTGTAGTAATTTCTACTTATGAACTCTCAAGAGTGTTAGAAGAATTAAGAGATAATGTATAATAATGAAAGCTTTGAAATATACAGGAGAAAGTAGCCATTTGGTAGCACTACTATTGTGAGACAGGGAAAGGTAACTCTCCCATAAGCCACTCATTTCTCCCTGTTGACAAGAAGAATGAGAAGTAATTGAGACAAAAATTTAAATGATTTCATAGCCTCATGTGGCCACAAATTCTAAATGTTCAAACGTTAGTGTGCAGTCAGTACTTTACATTTTAGCACCAAGGTTCCCTTTTATTATCGTCCCTACAGGATTGTCAAGATTTAGGCACAACAATAGCTTTCAAATGTAAAAATTAACTTGATTCATCAAAAGCACAGATTACTACCAGTCCTAAACTTTTGGTCTGAATGAAAACCTGGCGACCAGAGAGATTCCGGGTCTACTAGGGATGAAAGTGGGTGCTGCTGCGGTTCACCCCCAAAAATGGGCTTTCAGAGAGGCTCATGGGAGATCTTCATGCACAGTAAGAGTCATGTCACGCAACTCCCAACTGCCCAGTCAAAGTGGTTCCATGGTGACGTCTGAACCACGAGGTCCCAATCTGGGCAGTAAAAACAAGACACAGACCATAGCCAGTCCCCTTTGCACCCTTCCTTTTTTGCTCTCCCTTTGCTGCAACAGTGGGTCTGGTCGTCATCCATTGCATATGTACCATGCTCTGTAAACCTGTACCTTGCTCGTGACCTATAATCCTATCTTTCTCTCCTTAATAAACCTCATTTTTGTGCTTGCCTTACTTTGGCACATCTGGTCATTCTTCGGCCATGAGCACACTAAGAACCAAAATCTCAGACTGAAACCTGACACCTTCAGTCCATATAATTCCAGCTGAATGGAAAGGAAACCAGTTAATTTACACAGTATTATTTAGTGATAGATTATCATTCTTCTGGGCTGTTGCTGAGTACTGAGAAAAGAGGCAAGGGACTAAAGATCCCTTCTACATCTCCCTGAAATATATTACCATCTTCTCTCTTATACTTTCTAAGGGCCCAGGTGAGGCCTGGGCTCTTCCACATGTTGCAGTAGGTAAACTTCAGAGCCAGCTGTTTGAGGAACTGGAGCTGAGCAAGGCCCAGCAGAGTACCCAGGCCCAAACAGCTAAGGAGGAGAGGAGCAGAGCTGTGAACCAGGTGACAAATCCTCTGGTATCTCCTCTAATCCAGTCACTAAACCCTACCTTTTCTGGGAACGTGGGAATAAGATAAAAGATTAAGCACTTTTAAAATTGATACAAGACAGATCTTTTCCAGACCTCTCCTCATTTATACCATCTCTCTATAGCAGTCACTGGAGACTTTGGAACCTGAAAACAATCTTTCTCTAAAATTTAGCCAGGAATTTGTCTTGAGAAACTTTGAAAGGCCTTTGGAAAACTTGTTCAATACCTAAAATCAAAACTGGCTGACTCCTTGCCTCCCTATATATAGTGAATTCCATACCCTTACCACTTAAGCATTCTATTTCTATAGCCCATGCCCTTGAATGTTTCAATACCCCAAATTCCTCCACCTCTAAAACATTTCAAATCTTAACCCATAAGGCTTCTTTCATTAATATATACAAAATAGCAAGCAACCAAGAATAACCATAAGAAAAATTTCTCTGGTATCCATCAAGGAATTACCTTAAAAAGGTACCAGAGGAGGAGGATCAAGATGGCAGACGAGAAACACCGCCAGAAAAAGTGTGTCTGCAGAAAAGACAGACTGTAGCAGAAATTAGAAAAAAGAAGCAAGAAGGCGAGCATACAGCAGACGAGGGCCGGAAGGAGGGGTACCTGAGACCCTGGGAGACTCCACGGGAGGAGGCTGTGGAGGAGAACTGGAAGCTGAGCCCGCTGGAGCAGCCCAGAGACCAGCGGGAAGGGTAGGTGGATAAATCACCTTTCCCCTCCCCTGCATTTGGGACTGCTGGTGGGTTCCCCAGCGGGTGGAGAGACCTGCGGACACCAGCCCAGAGACAGCCGCTGCCAGCTAGCGGTGAGCCTGTAGCGGTCGCGGCACCAGACTCCCAAATCCCTCGGGGCACCTCCGTGTGCACAGACCTGAGCCGCGAGGCAGGCGCCATATTGCCTCCATCTACCCTCGGCCGACCCTACCTGCGGCTGCCCAGAGAGACAATACAGCCACCAGCCGGAGGCACCTCCAGGGAACGAGACCTTCACTTTTGGGACCCTACAGCTGACTAAGGGGAACTCAGACTGTGAGCTCCCTTCCCGCCAGCCCTCCCAGGTGCTGCTGGCACAGTGTTCCAAGGAGAATGGTGCC